GAGAAGATACATACAAATTAGACTGACTTGTGAGGCCACTTGTATCTCTCAAATCTTTTAAGTCAGTTTCTGAGTGTTCACACGGAAACTGAACATTTCATTCATGCACTTCCTCTGTGGTCACTGTTTTTGCTCTGTTACTTTAGTATATATACTCTCATATATACACTAGTATGAAACAAACAATAGATTTCAGCTGTTTATTTCTGTGTAATCTATTCAACATGAGCTGGCATTTACAGCAGGTTTTAACAGACAGTCTTTAATACAATGCTACTATTTAAATTTGCTGACGTCAACCATGTCTATAACCCTGATTCAGTATCTGCATAAATCGGTTAGTCAAACACATCTGTTTCTGCTCATACAGCTTTTCTTTTCTTTAGTACAGTCAACACTCGACTTTGCTTTCACTTGATTTCTGTGCCGTCCATTTCAGCAGCACACTGTCGATGTCAAATGCATGCAGATAAACTGATTTTTAATGTAAATGCAGTTTACTGTGTAGTTTAACATGACCACCTGCCTAGCCACTGTGTGGTTAAAGGCTAACAGCCTAAAGCCTCTGTGACTGTACTTACATCAGCATGCTATAACATGACCAAAATGACAGCATTAACATATCTGCAGCTCTCTTTCAGGCTCGCCACAGCAGATCATCTCTCTCTATTTCACCCTTTCCCTAACATCTTCATCAGTCACAGCAAACCTCTGCATTTCCTCCTTCCTTACATCCATTAATCTTCGCTGAGGTCTCCCTCATTTCCTACTTTGATCCCACTTTTGTCTTAGTTTAGTTTTGGCACTTTAACAGCCATACAAGCCGCACTTTTCTTTTATACCATTTGACTTCATTTCCTGCATTTGGGCTCTACACATGCTATACTGTGACAGGTTTCAAGGTTTTTATCAAATACAGTTAACTACATAATAACCAATGACAGCAAGTGCCTTTACATTGCCTCCCAAAGCACTCTCCAAATGCCTCCAACTGATCCAATTAAAACCAACTGTAATGTATAGTCTGCCATTTGGAGGATAGCTAGCATGCTGGCATTTGTAATTAGTACTATGAAAGAAAATGTGAATGTCTAAAATGTATTTGATGTCAAGGACGTTGGGGCATTTCACTCATAAATGGTTCGTTTAAGCATTATTCACCCCAAATGACATTCAGATCAACATTGCCTCTGGACACTTACAAAGTATAGCACTTTCTTCTATTTCATTGGGGTTATTTACTTTTTAACTACAGTTGACACTCTATATTACAACTACGCAGTATGTATGTCTGGTTAACAAATAGCAGGTACACCGAGCTGACCCTGCTGAAAGCTTACTGCTACTGAAAACACCACTGCTTTGAAAAATGCATGCATTTGTAAATTATTCAACATGTTCCATCAATGACACTGTGTAGAGGGCATCTATGGCTGTTTGCCAGATGCAGTGCTAGAGAAGAGCAGTGCATGACTATATATATGTGCCCAACACAGCATTTAAAGAATATGGATAGTATTTACTGCAAACTTAACTTTAAAAAAAAAAGAAATATAAAAACTGTTCATAAACAAAAACAAAAAAATCCAAATAGATAGCTACATCCAATTGTGTCTCAGTTTCCTCAGATCGATAAAGATTCCAAGACAGATTCACATTGTGTGCTCAGCATGAAAGGATAAAAAGGATAAAAAGATTTTTTTGGTTTCCAGGGAACAGAAGAACAAAGGCAGTGCAAAAAAAAGAAAGAAACGAATACCAGAAACAGCCACCACTTCCGTTGTCAAGCGCCAAGGAAAAGGATGGAATGAGAGCACAAACACATGTCAGTAAAGTGTGACAGCAGAGAGGCAGGAGACATGAAAGAAGAGATGAGATGAGAAGAGGGAGGAGAGGAGTTGAGCTGCAGGAGATAAATGTCAAGATTCTGGGTTCACAGATAACAATCATAATGGAAGACATCCTTACTATACAGAGGTAGTAAAAAGAATGATGCTTCACAGGTTTGGGGAAATCACTGCCATATCTTTAAATGCAACTTTTCAAAATACACCTGTCACAGATTTTATAAAACATCATATTACAACAGTTTTGTTTTTTTTTATCAGAAAGACGTTTAACCTAACAGTGGGAATCCTATTGTATCTTTATCTCAATGTTTAAACCATGTTTACAGCTCAAATCCCTGCCTGTTGCATAGTAATGACTGAAAGAATCGATTTGGAGAAACAATTTGAAATTAAATTAGTCTCATCTACAAAGAGGACACAGTCATCATTTCATTATTTCCCATTAATGAATTGAATTGTAATTGATCCTCTAAAAGATAATTGACCTGCTCTGTGGTCAGATGCAATAAAAGACTTACACTTCCAAGAAAAGCCACACTGATCTGCTTTCAGCTGACTCGTCAGTCCATACCAACCATGTGATCCTAGTTCCTTTTCCTTTTCTCTGTTGACTTTATGGGGGTTTTCTACCCAGTCCTTCTCCTACACATCATTTAAGACACCGATAATAGTGTTGAATCAAGAGATCACAGAGGTCGTTGGCAGTGCCTGAGGTTACTCTCAGCTTTGGATCAAGTCACAAGAGAAAACCTGGAAAATAAAGCAAAAATACAATAGTTAGACACGTATTAACCATCCTGCTGTTATGCAGTATGTACTGTATTATATTCTGAAGCAATAATGAATGTAGCTTTTCTATGACTCATGTTTTACAGATGACTCAAACACATGAGAAATGCACGAGTGCACAATAAAAGGCAGGGTTAATGAGTAGGGTTTGCATCTGTAAAATACGCCAGAGAAAATGAATATGCATTGCATTTAATCAGCTGAATGAGTACGTGTATGTGCAGCTCTCTTTACTGTGCATGCCCAGCATTCATATACTGTATAGTCCTCTCTTCTATAACATCCTACTGCAAACCAAAACTGTTAAGACGTTAATGATCTCTGACCAAACATATCTTCTTCAATTCCAACAAGGTGTTGGTTACAAACAGGACTGTCCAATAAAGTTGTCACCACACACGGCCTTGTACCCGTCCACAGATGTGCCTACACAATAATAACCACCACACAAAATGTGTTGGAATTATTTCTTTACTGTTTTCACAAAGATATAAAAGTGATGATATTCTATTGTCTTGAAGTCAGAGAAAGAAAACATGGCCTTTTTGCGCACTCACTCCTACTTTACCGGTATTGCACTGCCCACAGGTGTGAGACACAAAGGCATATTGTTAACACTTGCCACTGTAACGCAGCTTAATAGAGCACAAGGAGAAGAGATGAATTAGTCACCTTATCCAGCTGGATAAGCTCACTCAGTCCGTCTGAGCTGCGGTGAGGAAAATAAATGAACAAGGTTTGGAAAACACCTCTTTTACCCCTTGAAGTAGGAGCAAGTTTTCCAAGTGCTTTACAGCTGCTGGCATTTTGACCTGAGAACTGCAACGCCTTTGTATCTGAGACTTTGGTAATCAGTAATGGTTTTGAACTGCATGTCTATAAAGATGGAAGATCTTCAAGAAAAACACCATAGTTTTTCTGTTTTTTTTCAAGGAACACAGATACCAAATTAACCACTTCCCGAACAAGATAGTGTCACAAAGTAACTTAACAGTATTTTAGCTGACAGGTTTGTCATTGCAGTGAACTTATTAATTTCCCACCAAGGATATTAAATTTGTGCGTGTGCTTCTTAAAGGCTCTATAGGCCTTATATATGCCACTAAATTATGTGCTATATTGTTTTAAAGTCCCAAATGGACAGACTTTTAAATCTATAAACACTGGGACAAATTAAAATGATTTTTATTACTAAAAAGAAAGAACTGGCAAATGTAAATAATATGTCAATTAGAAGACTGTGTTCTTATAGCACTCCTAAATCTGTATTTTGTTGGCTGGCATTTCCAGAAGAAGTTCAATTCTGGAGACATTCGGTGACAATACAGCTAAAATGAGACTGACAGATCATTTCAGGTAATATGTTTTTGCCACTTTAAACCAGTTAGTAGATTTGATTTTATCCTGCCTGGTTAACACACTCGAAGCTGAGCTCCTTGGGGCTTTCTGGTAGAAATCCCAGCTGTCTATCTATAAAAAATACTGTTTCAGAGGGTTTAAGAAAAGTGTAGTTATTAAGCAGTGGTAAAAAAAAAAAAAGATATTAATGATGGATAAAAATAGGTAATGTGTTATACTGAAGTTATACACGCTAAAGAATTATGTTGGGTTTTTCACAATGTAATATATTATTATGAATGTTAAAAAGTCTGAGTTAAATTATAATAGGTATAAAAAATGTATGAAATGTGCTAAGTTATTCATACTGTATTTCATGTGTTTAAAGGTCTCTTCGGAGATAGTTAGACAATCATTTTCAACTTTTCAGCCTTAGTATTTTGGTCCTTTCAGCCCTGAACATTCAGTCCAAAGAAAAGCGAGACATGCTCAGAGCATGCAGTTTATTCCAGGCAAAAGCACTTTCTGTGCCGCCCTGTCCATTGGCTAACGGAGGAAACATGCACGTCATTAAAATTTGATGTGAGTGCATCATCACCCAGCACTGTGTGATTCAATCATTAATTCATACCACAACAGGCAACCCTGGGAACTGTAGCTAAGCAGTTTTGAAGTAAATAATCTGTTCATTATTATCATTATCATCATTATTATTATTAGTAGTAGTAGTAGTAATAGTAGTAGTATTATACTGTGATGAAAATATTTATAATCCCCATTCAAAAATGATGGGTGCTTTTCACATGCTCTCGATTTTAAATGATCATGCTATTCAAATCCTGCTTTCCTAAGCCATTAATACAAAATTGATGGCTTTGATATCTGAGGCTCATGCGGTTCCCTGTTATGATGACTCCTTGATTTCATGTTTAAAGTAGGTCTTCGGAGAGCATATAATGTCTGCAGGCACCTTCATTCATAATGCTTAGTGTGGAGAGCCAGCTGAGGTTGTATTTTGCTAGTTGTCGGTTGGAAAATTTGATTTCAGGCAGATCACACGGCCTGTCTGTTTGCAAATTTGATTTCATTTGTGTGTGGGGCTGCCCACTGAAAAACTGCCAGGACGACAAGACAAAACGCTGATTTTGCAGCAAGAGAAAAAGGATGTTAGAATGCCTCCTATGTGTTTATTTAAAGCATAGCGAGTTTGAGGCTTTTCATAACCTCTCTGCTCACACTAACCATAAACCTTTAACGACTTGTTCATTGAGCATGTCAGTATGGCCTGAGCCTCAAACACCAGTGCTTTGAAATTAGCAATTAATACCAAGGGAAATAGCTGTAAAATATTATTTTTATACACCCATATGAGAGAATGAGCAGAGTAATCTCCAGCCTGCAGTTTGAGGACACTGAAAGTGACACTTCTAGGGCACACTATAGGTAAAACCAGGGACAAGCGATGATAATCACTGCAATTACAGCATCGCCACTCGTTCTTCTGCTGCTCCAAGGATAACGAGTTAGCTTCTTTTACTGGAGTCCACTACAAGTGGCATAAAGTGTGAGCAAACAGAGCAAAACTGCTTTAGGCTATCATATACTTAAAGCTCAACTTAGAGCGTGCGGTGCATATTGCTAGACACATTGTTTTATTTAGTTTTCAGCTTCATTTTGACCCACCAAACTGCTCACCTAATTAATATGGCTCTCTTTAGATTTGCTTGATGCAGGTGTATTCTCTGACTCCCTCACCATGAGAGTTGCCTGAAACAATCTTTGTGTTTAAGTGCAGTGTCTCATTAAAGTGAAAAATGGCTTTCTTCCCCCACTAACAGACAGACTGACAAGGCTAGCACTTCCTCTTCTCACAGCAAGCTGCACCTCAAATCATGGTTTACTTAAGAAACCCTGAGTGAGCATGGCAAGTAGCCGAGCTTGAAACAGACTCTGTGATTATATCAATTCTATAAACAAAAAACAGACTTGAGTGATGAGATAAATTTGAGCAGGCTTCTTTGTTTTAAAAATGGTCTGTCAAGATGTAGACTTCTTAATAAATAAACGTGTATAGGTGTGCCTTAAGTGCATATGTAAGAATGACAGTCACTGTCATTCGACACACTTCATCATAATCATGAGTGAAGAAGGTGCGGTCATCTACACACAACTGTAATGGTTTATGAGGTTATGAGGTCTCTTGCAACCAATTGGTCCAAAAAGCATCTCAAAGTGCTAAGTGCACACATGCAATCCATAGAATGAAATATAAGCTTCTTTTATTAGTATAAAATATAATGTCAACAGCAAGGTTAGCCCATTTCGATAAGAGAACAATAATGCAGCTGCACAAGCGCCAGATAAAACGAAGTTGGACTTAAGTAAGGCAACATAGAAGGGTTGCTTTGCACAAATCCTCACTGGTTTCACTATAGATATATATATCTGCATGAATCACAGGTTTTCTCTACATTAATATATAATAGATTGTATATAATAGATTGATACAGTACCTTAAATATGATATCATTTCCAATGGTTAGCAACCTCAGCTTCTTTAATCTATGACCTCAGCTAAAGCTTTCCTGGGAGAACTTTTGAACTGCCTGTTAGTTTCAAGTCTTAATGTATCCAACATGATGGGTTTTTTTGTTTGTTTGTTTTTGTAAATTATAATTGCTAAAGTCCAAAAAAGTGACTAAAGAAAGGCATTCTTCAGTATGATAACCAACTCATTAACATACAAGCATGTAGTGTTGTTCAGTTTCTTAGTCGTCAGGACTACCCCTTGATGACCAAGATGGTGAAAATGTTCTGCTCAAGGTGTAACAATGGGACAGTCTGTAAACTATGGATACAAACCAAGTACAATCAACTTTAGGGGACATATGTGCCCACCTTTAAATAGCATATGTATGTAGGATTTTAAAATAAACAAAGTGCATATATTGTTATGTATTAGCCTTATGTCCCTCCAGACCTTTTCTCTATTTTTCTTCACCAATGGTGTTCAGCACTTGTCTCACATCACATGACACCAGCGAAACCCCAAATTAGGTTTTACAAATTCCATCTGAGAGAGCATATGGCAACCACTGAATTGGTCCTCAAGGATGTCACTCTGGGCAAACAATAACAGAAAAGTGGATGATGTTGTAATATTCACTCAACAATAACATGTTTTCTACACATACAGTTGCCATATCAGTGTTCACCACTTCAGTTAATGTTCAGCTTTATAACCAGGCATCCGTTTCATCCATCCATGCAAAACACTTAACATTGGCCATTACTTTCAGCTATGCAAACCTGTTTTAAAAAGGCCAGAATCTACCATTCTTACCTTAGGATACTGAAAAGTCATCATCTGCAAATTAACTTTTTTTTATTAACATGTGTCTAACAATAGCTCGTGTATTCCCAAGGTGAAAAAGATGTGGGCTAAGTAGCTTGATACTCACCCAACAGATGGGGAATGTGAGGTAATACCAAAATTCCCATTAGCTTTTACTGGCCCATTTAATCAGGGATGGAACAGGAGGTTAGGTTATTGTGAATGAGGTTATGGTGAATGAGGGGCATTTATAATTCATGTTTGAACACAAGGCGTTTGAATCAGAGTTCCTTAATGCAATTATAGAGACCCCATTCTCTCATTCACCCATTTAAACAGTACCATCCAAACATCTTCACCAGCTACATAGAAGCTCCCTGCCCGTACTGTGCTCACTTGTTCTTGATTCCTACTGCAGCATTTTCATATTAGCTCACAATTAGCAAAACCAGCTATTTAATTTCTAAACTGTTATTTTTTAAACTCAAAATCAGAGCACAGCATGTCCTTTCATCAAAACAGCCACATACAAATTAATTGACACATTACTCTCTTCTCACACGATATAGCAAAAACAGATCAAGCTACAGCATGATGTGCAACTGCAAAGGAGCTTAGAGGCCTGCCTACTACTGCATGTGTACTCATCCCTTTATATATATATTTTCTGTCCAGAGCAGGGAGCTGCTGCAAGTACAAAAACTGTGACTGAAGAATTACCTATACGTAAAATATCTAAATAAATGATTAAAAAAATGCAGATCGCCGTATAATGAATATAAAAGCAATTATTTTATAAATATATATAAATCACATGGGGCATCCTGGTGGTAGCAGGGTGCATGGCATTGCTCCACTAACCCACATTTACTGTAGTCCATGTTGCCAATGTCCAGGAATGACGAAGAAATATAATGTCCAGTCTCCGTGACCTGCAATCCACTCTCTGGATTGCTGCTCTTGCAGATGCTTTTTATGATTTTTGCTTGATGGACAGTGTGATACACACGGGCAGTGGGATGCACGCAAGCTACGCTGACAACCGGGAGCAGCTGGAAAGCTTTGCTTAATAACCGAGGGTAAACAGTCGGTGTTTACGCATAAATACGCAAACGGAATTAAAAATAATAATAATAATAAGCCTGTCTGGTTTCGCTGTGTTTTTCAGCGTATCTTACCGCGGTACTGCGGTGACCTCGCCTCACACGTAGCGGCGGCTGATATCGGCTTGTGTCGTTCTGCACGGTTCGTCCGGACGCCGGTCTCTGCTTATGTCGTTTGGAGAAAAGCACAAAACGCACTCAGTTGTGGAATCATCTGACAGGATCCGAAGAATGCGTTTAGGATCCCCTGATGATCATGTTTCCAGCAGACCTCTCTGAGGATGTGCTTCCCCCTCCTGCCTGTCTACATGCGCTGAGCCGTATTATGGCAGCCAGAGTGGAGACTGGAGACCCTCCCCCGGGCGCAGAGCAGTATCAGGTGGACGCTCAGCATCCTTCACATTCCTGCATCACTGAGGGATAAAGGGCAGGCCTTTGCATATAAATGCTCAGCCGGCCTTAGTTTGTCTCCTTCCTTATGGTACGTTTTACGGCTGGCATCTTAGGTTGATGTTTGCTCAAAAGAATGCTCAAAAAGCCTTCCTTTAGTATTCTTCTAAGGGTTTTACATTAGGAGTTCAGAAGTGACCTTATTTAACTTTATGATGTTTTCACATATTAACCTCGGCTATATGATGCTATAGATACGACGAATTTCTGACAAAAAGTTTATACATCTTAGTTTTTCTCTCATATTAGCAAGTCATCCAACACTTTATTTCAGTTTTGTGTATAAAGTAATGGAACACTCATGAATAATGCATCATATTGGGTTTATGTGTACACTGGGCATGGTATTTACAAGTAGATGTTAGTGTACGAATTAATATTGCATGAATCATCCCTAATGTATATGTCTTTGTCTTCAGCCCACTGTTGCTCAGAAAATGTTTGCAGTCACATTGCGTTAACATTAAGTCCTGCACAGCAAGTGGCATTTGCATGGGAGTCATTATGACTCATGAGCTCCAAGGTAAAAATTTGAAGGGCGTCTGGGTAAAGTGTCTTTCATACCCGTAGATTTGAAGGTAAATTTTAAGTATGCAGAGGCTGTTGAATATTATGGTGATGATAATGACCTTTTGTACATATAAAACAAACAAACCAATATGTAGACATACATATATACACACATACGTGCATATGTATACATAAATATGTATACGCATACATACGCATGTGTAAACAAGATCAACAAAATCTACATTATAAGAATTAGTTGTGACAAAAATGTGCCTCTTAAAGATATTCTAATGGAATAATCCTCCGTGGCATCATAACGTGAAAACATTTAATATAAATGGGCAGCTTTGCTGACCTCTTGTGGAGGGTATATCAGTTAATACAATAATAAGTCTTAAGCTATGGAAAATGAATTTTGTCAATAAATGTGTTAATGCTGTGGGATAAATAATAAATGATTATGGAGTATCTTTGTTTTGAGCTTTGTCTGTCGGTTTTAAAGCTGCATTTGATGTGTTAATAAGACTTGTAGACAGTCAACTGAGGGCTGACAATAACACTTTAGACTGGCTCACAAATTACATGAAAGCTATGTTGCAGACCTGTTATAAAATCTGTGTCTCCAGAAAATTAGCTCGTGCTTTCCAGTTTTATATAAACGTAATTTTAGTTTTGTTCATTTCACTGTAAACGATTCCACTTCATACCTCCAAAGTGGAAATGGCCACAGACACGTTCACTTGGATTGAGACAATTAACAGTGTTCTGGGTGGATGCCTGCAGAAAAATATGTCATATAATATACAACTTCTCTTTATAACAGTGGGCACAGTATAAAAAAAGACCCTTTAGTGTTTACATAAAAATCTATAACTAAGCATTTTGCAACACAGATGGCCAAATCTATAATTATTAATAATGCACTTCATACATACATATTACTTAATATAATGAAAAAGATTCAACTGCTGTGTAATTCTGACTCATTTATTTCTGAAGGATTTGCAAACATAATGTAGCTTCTGAACTGAGAATAAGTAGCAACTCTGTTTTTGAAATAATCATGACAGTTCAAAAGTTGCAAAGAATTGAAGAAGCTCTGATTTCATGTTCTTTATGCATTATCATCTTAAAGGCATTTTGAATATATGTGTGTCATTTAAACAACAGCCATCCTTTTGAAATGTGTTGAACACCAGTTGCACATGACACATTCAGCTGGGGGCAGTGTTGCTCTATAAATTCTGCATCGAGCACTGCTAATGCTGAGCCGTGCTTAGTGAGTCATTAAGGCTTGTGTGTGTATGCAACAATGACCCATTCACTCAGATTTACTTAATCACACAATAATATATTTTTGGTTCGCTCCACAGAAAGTAAAAGAAAGCGAACCAGCTGTCATGCTCTGTGCTCATTAACCAAGCTGAACTGTGTGTGAAATATGAGGATTGTGCGCCCAGATGTTAGTTGCCACAGAGGAAACACTTTAAACCACTTCTTTTTGTAAAAAAAGGAAGACTGATCCTTTAAATATAGCTACTTTAAAATAATTTATTTGTCTCATTCTCATGAAGTTTTAACCAATGACAAATGTTTGGTGTATCACTAAAAGTTTGCACCTTCACAGTGAACAGGACCGAGGCTTTTAGCGAAGGTCATTTTGCCAGTGGACAATGAGACACTATGCTGTATGTACATTTACTTCCTCAAGGCTCAAGAGACCTTTAGGGAGGAAAATGTTTTCCACCTGCATGTCAAATAGACTTCTGTCCCGAAAAACACCTCAGCCTGACCTTCATCACTTCTTTTCATCCCATGGGAAGAACCGATTTCTTCACATCATGACTTTAAGCCTTTAACATCACGGTTTCTTTTTATTTCTTTAGATTGTTCAGTTACAGTGTTGATTTCGTTCATTCATGCCTAACACAGGAATGCTGCTTGCAGTCCGTGGCAAATCCAAGCTGCACATCTTAAGCGGTGTCCTTGTACTTGAAACATCTGCAGCTTGGCACTAGCGGGCATATTTTTCTGAAATAGGCCATCGTGACAAGTTGTTCACTAGTGACCGCTGGCAGTGATATAAATTTTTCTTTCTGTCCTGCCTGTTGGGTCTAATGCCAGAGCAAGAGAAAAGGTGCTGCTGTGAGCTTTATGACAAAATGCTTTATCCCCCATTAACCTTCACAGAGTGAATATCAGGAGGGGATTTCAGGTGGAATAAAGCACCAGTGTCAACAGGCAGGTGTGTTGCTGAGCTCAAGGAAGAAGACAGGCTAACATAAGGCGCCCTCCGTCCTTCATTTCTCCTTTTTCTTTTGGGGTCATTCCTTAGCTGGGCGCTGACAGCAACCACTGATAAGAAAATGATTAAGTATCATGGACTCAACCACAATCCAATTCACATTCCCAGCTGCTCTGCAGACTGCAAAAAAGCTGCATCAGATATTTTTTTTCTTCTTCACAGGCTAGAAGTTCTAACTGTTTCTTTTTCTTTTTTTTTAAATTAGTCTTCATATAAGCTTCATATGTGTGTATGGCTGCCTGACATACAGTAAAGTCTGTAACCTATTTTCAGTACATCGTGTTTCTGAATGATCCACAACTTCCAGACATGATAGAGCTGTGAAACCCAGATCAGGATCAAAGAAGTCAGCGAGACAATTCAGGATAAACTCGCCAACGTATCTGAAATGGATTAGTTTTGGCCTCGACTACTGTAAAAATCAAACACATAAATGCACACGCTGTGTATGTGTTTGAACAACAGATTTAGTCCACAGGGATCAGCAGTCAGCTGTAACATCCCTCGCCCACGTGAAGCATCTGGGCACCCATGAAAATGGAAATGGCAGCGCCAGAACAGTTGATAGAGACCAATCTGTTTCCTCATCAGGACTCTTCATTAAACTTGAGCAGTGTCCATTAGGCCTGTAATCCTCCTCACCCACTGCTACACACGACCTTGAGGTGTAACACTACACGCTGTTTTAATAGCTCCTGAGTTCTCACCGAGGTATACTTACTGTCAGATGTACTGCTGCTGCTGCTGGACTTCATGGGAGAATAAGTTGTTTCGAAACAGGATTTAAGAACAGTTCCTCACAGAGTCATTTGTTACATTACAGCCAATCATAGCCAGTAATTTAACGTATCCTCACGATGCTCGTCGCACAGTGTGAATTTTTCTACTACAGAATGTGATCATTTCTTGCTCACCATAGTAGCTGCTTAATTGAGCTGGATGTGCGTCAATGATTTCACTTAGAGGGGATCATCAAGATTCAGACAAGCACCTGGTCTTTTATGTGCCTGTAGAAGGCTGGCAGGAAAAACGATTACCGGCCTCATTTGTTCTCTATAGACATTTGTGACCTTTCCAATTGGCACATCCTCTTACGAATATGACAGCTTTTCTTTCCCAAAACCAGGAGTGATCTTGCATTTAATATGCACATAAATTGCATTTTTGCCTATTGGGGAGCTTACATATACTGTAAAGTCAGGATGGTGGGGCTTTTTGACACTGGATGTGTCAGTTAACGATGAAAGTTTCTGGGAGTCCCATGGTGCACTCCTTTCAGCTCTGATGCTATTGTTATCCAATCAAAAGATTTCTAGTTGTACATGCACATGCTTATATACATAATTTACGGTCCATACATATAAATAACTGCAAAAGTTAATGTTCAGTGTGATGAATATATAAGAATAAGTACTAGCAAGCAGTTTGAAAACAGATTTGAAGAAAAGACTGACTGAGAGTCATATGAGCAGAGACAGAAATGCACTTTTAGAGCTTTCTTTGCACTTTAAAATCCACTGAAAACTGCTAAACAGGAAGCTGCAGAAATACAAGTAACGAAGAAAAATACACACATGTGAGATACAAAGAAAATACAGCTTTTACAGTCCATACAAAAGAAAAAAATGGCAGCGTTTGTGCAGTGTGGCTAGATTGTATCGTAAAATACATTTTTGCTGAAGAGTTTTGGACAGAAGCGAAGGGAGTGATTACCAAAATCCTTGTTTACCTGAATGGATCACCTTTCAGAGAAACTGTTAGGATGTGCAATCACTGAAAAATATCGGTGCAGAACGAGCTGACAGGATGATCAAAATGAAAAGCTCCAATATTGAGTGGATGTGTGATTTGGAAGTGTTATCATCCTCCGCAGGGGCCATGGGATTTACAGTAAATGTTGCCGTTTTTTAATGATCATAAGCTTTACAGTGTCATTCCACTTGTGTTGTGTTTATCAACTAAATAGCATTAGGTATTACTGCTTTTATTCTCAAATGCATTTAGTTCATTTTGACTCAGAATCATAGATTACAATTTTTTCATCTCCTATTAAGCTTGTTCTTGAAGTGCACACACTCAGGATTTTTCGGTCATGAAAAAATAGGCTTTAAATATTATTAGAAACTTTGATTAAAAAAGTAAAACATTAAAATTCATCAGATCTTCATATTTGACCTTAAAATAGAAGAAGTGAATGGCATCACAGCCAAGAAAATGTGGTGTGAGGCTGACCTACAGAGCACAGCTG